TGCACGGGTGCTGGCAGCCTTGCAACTGGCACAAACTGTGTAGCCAGCCCGTGGCCCTTTAAGGGCTCCGGGGCCGGGAGGGGGGCCGTAGAGTTTCCCTGGTGTTGGCCAGAGTGGCCACCAGGACAAGCTGGGGAGGGCTAGCCTCCCACTAGTTCGAATTAAGGGTCTACACAGCCCTTAATTCGAACTAGTAAGTTCGAACTAGGCTTAATCCTCATGGAATGAGGATTACCTAGTTCGAACTAAGCGCTCCATTAGTTCGAATTAAATTCGAGCTAACAGAGCGCTAGTGTAGCGCCTATGAAAGTTAGTTCGAACTAACGGATGTTAGTTCGAACTAACTTTGTAGTGTAGACATACCCCTGCACTGCTGCCTCTGATATAGAGGTAGAAGCGAGGGGTGGCAGCAGCCTCTGTCTGTAGGGGCTCTGAGCTCCCCAGCCGGACCCCCTGTGGACAGGGGCTACTACTGGGGACCAGCTTCTCTCTGTGGCAGGCCCAAGCTCGCCACGTTGTCAAAATGCTTCTCCCATTCTTGTAGTACCTTCTCAGCATTTGTTGTCACCAAAAACATTTCTTATTACTTGCGTCATTGGCCTGATTGTGTTACCATACAACTTACCCTTTTAGTATATCATTTTCATAGCTTGTGTCCTTCATGCCTCTTTTAGTTGTTGAACTCCATCTCTTAACATTTTTTGCTGGTCCACTTGTGATTTCTTCACAACTTGATAAGACTTTTACTTCTTCCACTTTCCCAGAAGTCTTGACTTGTTCATGAATTTCCTGTAATGTTCTTTCATTGCTTGTCCAGATTTTCCTTTTTTGCTCAATAACTTCCTCTGCTGTACTTTATATTGCTTTCTTGAAAATTTCCCATCCAGTCTGGAGTGCAATTTCTGCATTATTGCAAATCAATGGCTTGAAATGACCTCCAAGTCTCACCTTGCATGAGATCGACCTTACAGATCGACTCCTTATTTAATCAAGATCAAATTGGGCTCCATTTGCGCCCCTCTTTTTCTTGGAATTTAATTTAATATTAATCTTTCCCATTAGCAGTTCAAGATAACTGTCACACTTGGTATTTCTCCAGTCTGTTATCCAGCATGGACCTGCTCTGCCTTTTACTGATAATAATGTGGTGAATCTATTTTTATATGACCATCTAGTTAATTCTAAGTAAATTTGTGTATATCTTCATGAGGAAACCAAGTACCACCAATAATCAGATTAGCTATTTTACAACAAGTTCTAAATCTTTCTCCATTGTCATGTCATCTCAATGCCAATGGTCCGACACTATTCATTTGCCAGCCATCTGCACTGAATTTGCATTCATATTCCCATTATCAAAATCATTATGTTTTAAAGTGTTACCCAATCACGGATAAAATCTTTCTCTTCCTATTCTGCTACTTCTGTTGGTGCATAACAGTTCAGTTATGCTTAATGTACAGCAACCTTGGTATGACAATCTACTCAGACACTAGTTTCCCTCTCGCTGTTCCTTGAAGTAACTGTTCTCTTGTCCACTGCTATAGCACCTCCATCTCTGCTCTTCACTTGTACGCTAGAATGTATGCAATAAAGGAAAGTTTAATTTCCAGTTGTGACCTCTCCTGTGTACCTAGCCAATCTGTCTCTTATATGGCAGTAAAGGAAACTTGCATCTCCTAAATCCTCTGCTGTTACCTCAGTCTGGCCTGGAGTGAATGGAATTCTAACATTCCCACTTGCAATACATGTAATATGTTTAGCCATTATCTGAAATCAAAGTCTATTTCCATTTGATACATGGATTTTGACACATGCCTATCATTTTGCTTTGCTATACTGTTTCTATAAGAAGTAAGCTTTGGCTGTAATGGCTTGTTAGGCCACTATACTCTACTCACCCCTTGTCCCCAAAAAACCTTCTGGCCTGCTAGGAACAGCTATCAGTGACTGATTTCACACTATTCCAGGTGGATTTGAAAGCACAGTTTTCCTTCTCCTGACCTAGATGGACTTTCCTGAAGAGGAGTCCTGTCTGCCCCTTTCTTAAATCAGTTTCCCTTCTCCTACAGTTGGTTCACCAAGCCTCATTCTAGTTTTCTGCAAGACAGGCAGCACTCATCTGCCCATTCTAAAATGTGCCTTACACCAGGGGTTTTGGGTTGGGGGCCACTGACACATCAAAAAATCAGTCGGGAGTGACACACAAGTGAGAAGCAAAGTAGACGCTCCTGCCCAAGAAGGAGAAAGACACTCCCCACGTTCCCCTTGCACACCAGAGCCTACGGGGAGGGGAGACTAGTAGATTTGGTGAGCTCCAGCCCTCCAGAAGGTGTCTGGAGCACCAGCACGGCTCCCCAGTGCTGAGCCGTGGGGCCTGAGGTTCCCCACCCCGCCTTACACCACTGTATCTCAGCAGTCACTCCCTCCCTCCCCAGCTCAACAGTTCATGGCCTGCTTCTGCCTCTGCAACTACCATGGAAAAGCAAATCTTCAAAACGTCACTTCAAAGGCCAAGAGGCGAAGACAGAGAGAAAACAACAATTCCCAGGGCTCCCTGCGAAGGGGGCGGGGCCAGTAGCCGGGCAGTAGAACACTCCGTATCCAATGAGCGGGCGTCTAGGAGTCTCCGGCAGGTGGAGCGGTCTTGGCTCCATGTGCTCCTGGTGAGGCTGGGCCGCCCTCCCGCTGTGCCTTGGTCCCGGGGAAACTCCGCAGCGCACGGTGCAGGCAGCAGCTCCAACTGCCCCGAGGGCCGCGGGCAGTCGCCGGGCGCCGCCGCTTCACCTTTTGGGGCCCCTCCTAGCAGCGCCTGCCTGCTGCCCCGCCCCGTTTCCCCCAAGCAGCGCACCAAAGCTTCTTTGCCGGGCGCTGGGATCCCGGCTGCCCGCGGGCCCGGCGCCTTCCTAGGCGGGGCGGCAGCTGGTCCAGCTGGTGCGGGGATCCTGGATCTGGGGGCTGCGCTGTTAAGTGCCTCCGTCCTGGGACGCCTCGACCGCTCCCTTTCTGCGCCCCTCGCTCATCCCCGCGGCGACTTCCGCTTAAGTGCCTCCGTCCTGGGACGCCTCGACCGCTCCCTTTCTGCGCCCCTCGCTCATCCCCGCGGCGACCCCCGCTTTACCCCCAGCATGTCCCCGGGGGGCAGGCACTGAGCGCCTCACGTTCTCCCCGGGGCCGTTCTTCCCGTTGTACGGTCAGGGGAGCCGGACCGCACCATGGCTTTCGCCAACTTCCGCGAGAAGAGGCGCTCCAAGGAGTTCGAGCACGTCCGCCGGGACCTGGACCCCAACGAGGTGTGGGAGATCGTCGGGGAGCTGGGGGACGGCGCCTTCGGCAAAGTGTACAAGGTGGGTCCGGGCGCCCTCGGGCTGAGGAGGTGCCTAGCCCGGGGTGGCCGGGGGTAGGCTGAGACTCCAGGCGGACACGTGGATGGGTTCTGGCCACGGTGCGCCTGTGGCATGGCAGCGTGGTTGGTGGGTGGAGGGGCGGGAAGTCACAGTCTGAGCCGTGCAGCGCAGCTCGGGGCAGGGGAGAGGGGGTATAGCGTGGCCAAGGGGCTCCATTTCCTCGCCTTGCTCTATAGCATCTGAGCCTACAGCTGTGCCCCTCGCGCAGGGCTGAGGCTACGGCCCTGAGGCGAAGGGGCATCCTTGGTTGGATTCCCCAGGCTCCTTTGACAGGCCTCTCGCAGCCCCTCGCCGCTGAGTGCGGGCGCCTGAGGACTGCACCGTGCGTGGCAGAGATGCACGCGGGGTGGATCCCCAGGGGGTTGTGCTGGGCATGGTCTGGCTGGCGGGTCCCCACACAGATGCTGGGTGCCTGGTATGTCCGTTGTGCCAATTTGTGTGTTAGCAGAACTTCCACTTCCTCGTGTCCTGCCCAAACTCTCTCCTAGCCTAGCACGTGTCATCTGGGCTAAAGGTGTGTCCTAGTAGATGCAGCCGGTGACTGCCCAGGGGTAAAATACCCGCAGAAGCTGTCCCGGAGTTCAGCAGCTCACAGCTAATCAACTTCTGAACTTTCCTTGTAGCAGCATTGCAGGCTGAAAGAGCTGTGTCTGTTCCTTATTGTCCAGGGCTTGTTCACAGTTTGTCTCCTGGCTTGCTAAACACATGTCGAACATTATAGGAAAAATTCTCTTAGCACCCTGAGTACTCCCTGTAGTAGATCCTCTTATCTACTGTGACTAGGCATTAAGGTGACACTGTAATTTTCATTAGGGGTGGGAGAAAAGACAGATCCCTATTGGGTAGGCAGAAGGAGAGGTGAAATGCTGTTTTCTGAGTGATACTTTAATAGCTCTGCTGTGTGTTCCTGGCCCAGCCGCTACATAATATGAATGAAGGGGTCTGACTTAGATGTCCACACTAAGAAGGCTGCGTGCAAATTTTGTATGGTTTCAGCTTTAACAATATTGATATTACTGTGGACCTTGGTTACTGTTAGGCTAAGGGACCACATTTCCAAGGGCCAGATGCAATAAAGTACAATAGAGTATGTCAAACAGCAGGCTTTTGCAATATGAAGAGTAAACCAAAACCTGCAGAATAGCTGCGAGGCGGCCACTTAAGACAGAGACTTTTCACCAGATGGTGAAGTGGATTGTTCCAGCCACATTATAAGAAAAAATGAATCTGGGGCATTATTGAATCTATTTGTAGGCATCAGTTCACATTGCAACATTGCCAAAGAATTTGATGGTTAATTAAATGCTGCTGAAGAATGGGTTAAAACCTGCAAGTATGAAAAGCAGGTGGGCTACAAGTTAGAATGGAGGTGCTTTGCCAGAGCCCTTGGGAATGTTACTTGTCTGTATTGTGTTGCTAGTAAATTGTCATTTTTCTGAAGCACTAGTATAAACAACGCGAAGTCCTGTGGCACCCTATAGACTAACAGATTTATTGGAGCATAAGCTTTCATGGGCAAAGACCCACTTCGTCACATGCATGCATGTGATGAAGTGTGTCTTTGCCCACGAAAGATTATGCTCCAATAAATCTGTTAGTCTATAAGGTGCCACAGGACTTCGCATTGTTTATGCAGATTCAGACTAACACGGTTACCCCTCTGATACTTAAGCACTAGTAATTATTGAATAGTGCTTAACATTTGCTGTTTAACAGTTACTCTGCTCAGCAGTCTTCATCTTGCTGTTATCACCTGAGGATAGAGAAAGAGTAGAATGTTTGGTTTTTCTTTGGTTCATCTTGCTTCATGTATTGGAAAACATTTGTCCATATTCACTATTTTTTCCTCTGTATGATCAGTTGCCCCAATTTGTGTGACTTTCAGACAAAGACAAGGGGAAAAAATTTCTTCTGATTAGGAAAAATATGATTGTGGGGAGAACAACAAGCTGGAATAAGGTCTCTGAAGCAGATATTATTGCTTTAAATCTTGTTGACTTCAAATATATAATCAAATAGACACACACACACACAGGCATTGCATGGGTCCATTGGGGAGTGCAGGAGTTGGGGGATAAGGCAGAGCTCTGAGCTGGCAATGGGAAGGTGCAGAAGTCAGGGTTGGGGGATTA